ATGTTAAAAGTAATTTAACAAAGTTTGAAACTCAATACTATGAATGTCTGTAGCATAATGTGACAACTTTGACATTTCAACAAGGTAAACATGGGGGTACATGGCAACTTTTTTTATGACAAGCATTAACTTAACGAAATGTCAAATAGACACTGTGACATGCAAACGAAAGTAAAGTATTCGTGGTGATATGATCAGTTGCGCACGGGTAGCCGAATTTCTCGAACAAGGGTGTGTTGATTTCAAAGTAGGACGATCACAGACAAGCCAAGGGGAGTGTTAGCTGCTATGTCAACTCTTCGGTTAGCTGACCCCAAATAATTCTCCGTAGGTTATGATCACTATTGATTAGTACGACAAACTACGCCAAAACATACAGAATGTGACAATACATTGGATATAATGACTATCTGCACTACAACGATGCAACGAACTGTATACAAGAATGTTTTCTATAATGAAGCACCTTGCAGTAAATTCCTTTCCGACCCAATATGGCGATTCAGACATGCGCCGTTAGGGGTTACGATTTTCAAACAAAAAAGTGTTCTGAAAAGACCTTACTTTAGGTCGTTTCCGTCTCGTGTGACAACCAATTCGTTCCTCAAACTTCCAAGATTAGATAGCGCACAACCATTGTTGTAGAGTTTGAGTATAGGGGTATCAAATCTTGTTTTCCCTTTCACCTCTCGAACAAGGAAACACTATGCATTACGTCACCGGAAGTTGCTTCGAGCACCAACTAGAATATCGGTTGATGATTGGTCCAAAATAGAGCAATTTGACATTCCACTCGAGTTTTCTTTTGAAATCAACTTTGTCGGAAATATAATGGATATATTTATAACTTGTGGACACAGCAAGCAAATAGTTATAAATGAAACGTGAAAAGCATTAGGTGTGTCTCAAAGTCCCCTTAACAAGTGCTATGTATCAAAAACTTTAGCTACAATATTTTGACCCAAATAAATGTTAACAGTTCATAAAAGGTGATAAGTACATTTCCATTTACTGTGGTGCAATCATAATTTCATCGGTCGTTTGGTCCTAGCTTTGAGCTTTAGTATAAGTGAAAAATGATGGGGTTTCTATTTATCAATTAATGATTACTTCATTCTGATATTATGCGATACAGACCCTATATGTTAACACCAGTCGTATATAAATGTACAATTATAAAGACATATTAAATACTTTTCGTCATTGTAGAAAAATATAACAGTTGGGATCCCAACCGTGAGATACTTTCATGACTCCAAATTATGTAACAAAAGTCCCCTGTTAAAATATTCATTAAAATGCACCCCTATTGTGTGCATATCTTCATCGATCTTCATATCTTTTTTTTATTTTGGCAACGTATGGTCATCGACACATTGATAATAAGTATATCTGCTAATTTAATTGGTTAGTTTAATTCGGCGATGCTCGTGATATCCGTGTCTGCTTTATTTGTATAGCAATGTTTATAAACAATCTCACTTCAAGTGTCACTTTTAATTATAATCATTATCATTTTTGTAGTTTTGAATTATCAAAAGAGCCAGCCTAATAAGTTAAAATTGGTCCCTATCCAAAAGAGATTGGATTTTTAATATCAAGCAAACTCGTTACCCGTCTTTTACGACAAGCATAATCGCCTCTTGCTACACGCAGGATTGATGGAGAAGACCAAATCTAACCTGGATCTTAACGGGTCAAAGTGGCCATACAGTGAATGAGGATTACATGTATACTTTGATGATGTGATAAATTATGTTGTTCATTGGCAGGCGGCATCAATATGTGCAGCTGTAGGACAGACCCCACCTGTCTTCGTGGTCAACTGGGGTTAGTTATCGTCATGAGGTTTATATGCCAATCTAAGTCGTGGTGTCCTTGCGCATAGGATTGTTCGTCAGTTTGAACTGCAGAAGGAAAACATAAGACAACAGCAAGCTCGTGTGTCTGTGGACTGTTTTAGGAACATAATCATCCGTGTATTGTGTTGGTTGGGATTTTGAATGGCGATTTGATATTTGTTCAGCCACAGTTACAAAACCAGATATAGTTTTTATTTCAAACTATGAGCCTAAATATTTAAAAAAATAAAAATAACACATTGCAACAATGTCATTTTTGTGGCAGGCAACTATTGTATAGTACAGACTGATGCATAATTATTTTTGAAGAAATTTCGGGTCCCTCCCACAGTAAGATGACGCGTTAAAACAGCGTTGACCAACTCACTCACTCACCCTGGCAAGTTAACCAGCGGACACATTTGTCGCCCTTCGGTGGTCGTAGATAAGTGGGAAGTACCCCAAATGAGTCAACAGACATTATCCGAAACTACCCGCCCACAGATTTCCACTGCAACATTAGTAATACCACATTGGGATTAATTTCCTCCCGCATTTTAAGCTGGCAGGCAGCGATATATTACCGAAAAACTGTTCAAAACGGCGTTAAATCCAACTGTCTCACTCATGCATGGGGGTTCCGGATCAGAAATGGACCCAAGAAATCTTTAACCTCATGCTTGCCGTACGACCCAACTGAAAGGTCCCGTGAAGATTCCGGGTAAGAATTGTCTTCAGCAATCCATGCTTGTGGTGGGAGGCGACTAACGGGATCGGGTGGTCAGGCTCGGTGACTTGGTTGATTAATGTAATTGTATCCCGGTTGCGTAGATTGATGCTCCTGATATCAATCACTGAATTGTCTGGCCAAGACTCGATTATTTACAGACCTCCGTCATCTAGCTGAAATATTGCCGAGTGCGGCGGGGTAAACAACAAACAAACCCAACTAAAAGGTAGTCTGGGTTGGGCTGCGAGCCATGGTTGACTGGTGTCATCGCTTGATACTATAACTACTGCTTTGCCTGGCCATGCCGGAAACGATTGGTGACCGCGGCGTCAAATATCATTCAATTATATATAGATGAGGACTTGACCGGGGAATATTGCTGAGGTATGTCCGTGGTATGGGGAAGTAGCACTGGCCTCTGTGTGTCTATGTATCAATAACAGCGACGGACGTGATTTGAATTATGTTAAACATGCACGTGTGAAGAATGCTTTAGTGTTTGGTGGTAACATTATGCGCCTCATTATACTAATTTGACAGTCACTGTATAGTTTCTACCGTAATTTAATATGCTAGGGGGATTAAATAGCAATGGAATTTTGAAAATGCCTGTGTTGTTGTTATCTGGTAATCGACACACGTTGTCTATACACGTCTGATCATTAGACAAAACAGAAGCGGATTTTACAGCCTTGACTCCATGATAGTGGAATAGGGTATATTATGGACGTGAAGAGACGGTTAGGGAGTATCACAATTTATCTCAAGAAATTATGAACCATACAAACTTTAGGGAGATTAGATTTAGAATAGGTCTTCAGGAACCCATGCTTGCCGTAACAGGCGACTATGCTTGTTGTAAGAGGTTACTAACGAGATCGGGTGGACAGGTTTGCTGACTTGGTTGATGCATGTCATCGTATCCCAATTGCATAGAACGATGGTCATCATGTCAATCACTGGTCCAGACTCGATTATTTATAGACTGCCGTCATATAGCTTGAATATTGCTGAGTGCTGCCTTAAACAACCCTAACGCAAGACTCCCAGAGTAAAAAGACCTGTGAAATGAGACATCAACTATATTCTTGATCAGACAAACCAGTGATTGATATGATGAACGTACCCGCTGTCAAGATACCACTCCCAATAAATCAAGTACTGGGCATGATCAGCCCATCCATTTAGTCCCCTATTACAACCCGGCTGGGCACCTTCTTGATTTTCAGTTGTGTTGTGTCTTCAATGTATAATGCTGATGTTGGACCAAGAAGCATAATTGGGTAAATCTGGTATGTGAAGGAACGACCAGTGGAACCTGACATGGGTAAGGGGCACGACTGTGCCACAATTGACCACTGGTTCCCCAACTACTAAGTGACTTCTTTCTCAGTATACATTTCCCCCTGGTGACAAGATACATAAATACATAACAGGAAAAAATTATCTGCATATTTGAGAGTCATACCACTTTGGTAATTTTACCAATCATAACCAAGCAGACATTAAAGGACAACAGCAAAGAATGGTCATTGTATCATTATAAATATTAATCTAGCAGTGTTCTTTGTAGAAACCCCATATGGTTTATGCATCACTTCTAGTTATCATATATCCCAAACATGTAGCTTTTGGAGTTCTCTACATGACATTGACCCCATATTGAGAGGTGTCCATGATACCACTGATCCTTGATAACAAGTTGGTACAATGAACAAGATTTCTCAAGATGGTTGCAAGGACTGTGTGATATCATAAGATGTTCTTTGACAAGTTTTACATGCAAAAATGTTCATTGGACATGCTGGATTTTGATAAAAACAAACACGAAAAAATCTCACCACTGTTCAGCTTCAACTTTCACAGAAAAAAAAGACCAAAATTAATGATATTCTCTAACCTGTATCTGTCAGTCCCAGCTACATCTTGACCTTTTTCTTGTCATCAAGAAATAAACTGCAGATGACGCAATATTCTTTATGCATCGGCTTTATGCATCGTAGAAACTAACAGTTTTAGCCCACTAGTCCATATAATGATAACATAGCAAAACCCTTAAAAATGGCAAATGTCTACTAGTCCTCATGATGCCTTAACTATTGAGCAGTTTGACAAGGACTACAGGACTAGTGCCAATTTCTAACGCTGGTCTTACTTGAATTATTCTCAGACTCCAAGGAACAAATACCATTTTGGTTAATGTCTTGGTAACAATAATAATTCAGCTACCAGTGTTGCTGGAAGAAGGGTGAAAATGAGTATTCACATAGAAGTGAAAGATGAACTAATCCCTCCAGTGCATCAGTTCTGGGACACAATCATGATCCAAGTTCTCATGTCAGCTGCGTCACAATGCAGCTCCCCTGATGCCACATAATCATCATCTCCACATTTAAAACATCAAAATGTAAGCAAAAACCAACATCTTCTTTAATCCACATATTCATTTTATTTCTCAGGAAAGATTAATTAACAGAGAGATGTATTATTTCATACCAGTAAATATCAAGTGATTTAAGTTGTCTTAGTAAACCATTTGGCTTAATGGATCTCTTGGAAAACAGTAATTGTCCACTGCACCAAGATTTATTCAGCTTTAATATGTACTGTATTCCAAACTAAAACATATAATTGTACTTCAATAAAGTTTAATGCAACTGGTTGTGCAGGTGTATACACATCTCAAAACACAAATTAATACCTAAAGAATATTTCACAGAAGAATACAAATCTAAAACAGGACTAATACCTTCCAAGTGTTTTTCAATTTGCCATTTCGATCAGACTTTTTGGTAGCCTACACCATTGATTTGCATTTCTTGTTTTACTAATACCACAAACACTATAAATAAATCTATACACTGAACTGTTTCCAGTGTTAAACTAACATGGGAATAAGTCTCTGATCTACTTAAAAAAAACTTATAATAAAAACAATGCCAATGAGTGGACTTATATTGATGTAAGTATTAACAATGAAATTTCATCAACAAGTCTTGATGATGCTCCATTGATGATACTGACAAAAAAGGATCTCAGTTCAGTACACATGTACTTGAGTCAACTGAACATGCAAGAAAAATAATTTTGTCAAAGTGTACACAGAAAAAATGCACAAATAATATGCCGGAAAGATGACCGTAAAGGTCAAATTATATAACAGATAGTATTTTTAATGTGCCTTACGGATAAAAATAATAAACAGAAACAGTCTGAATCTATCTATGACTTATTTCAGGGTTAAACTGAAAATTTACTCAAGCCAGATGAGACAAAATAAATAAGAACTAAATCATAACAATTACAGACATTAAACAAATATTTGTCTGACATTTGAAAAAAATACAGTATTTGTCATATTAAGCACTCTGCTCAAAGAACCTACTAATGAGTAAAACATTTTGAAAACATAATTTCAAGCGTCTTTTATCATGGACCTAAATATTCCTTTTGTTCTTACTTTGTCCATAAAGTTGTTGGTATATAACATTGAAGAATTTTGCAATTTCACTAATAACAGCATTTGTACAATACCTCTGATGAAGATTAGACAAACCCTCCATAACATATCATATGGTGGTGGATATTTTATACAAACCCACCATAACATATATGGTTGTGGATATTTTATACACCCAGTAAAGGAAATTTACACCAAAAAGGGGGTACCACTGATGAAATATTAATGTTGTGTGTGGGGTTTCTTTTAACTGTTTTAAAAAGCTGACTTCTAACTGGCTTGAACTCGCACATCCTTCATATAAATATCAGACTTGACTCAGGGTTCACCCAAGACAACCTGTGGAGGGGTTGTCAGATCTTCAAGCAGAGAGCTATAATATTGGATTAAAATGTCTGATTTTAACAATATTAAGGAATTTGAAAGCATAACTCAGTAAAAACATAATGGTAAGGAGAGACTATCTTTCAAAATGCATGTGCCCAAAGTGCTTAATATTTAGAATACAGTACTTATATATGTAACCAACTCACACTTAAAGAGATATCCAAGGATACTTGACTGTCAACTGATAAACACATGAAGTAATGGTGTAGGGATACTGTATGATATGATAGTATTTCTTTTAATATAATTTGTATGGTATAGCAATTACTCTGATGAATATTACCAGTAGTTACATATGTCAGTAGGGTATTGGGGAACAGATTGTTTATGAGCAGAGTAATTAATCAAAATCAAAGTCCAAGGCTGATAATGCTATGTTCACAGTTACACTGAGAGATTGTTTTCAGTAAACATCAGAAAAACAGAGCTCACAAATGCAGCACCTTATCAAACAATTCAGTTTGTCCTTTGTGGTCAAGACGATTGATATTATCCTAAATTGAAGGTGAGAACACCAAGATACTGTTTTGTATATTTTATTCAGACTTAGGCATATTGCCTAATTAAATTAAAAAATAATAAATTGAAATGAATAAACCAAATCTGCCCTATAATAAATGACATTAACTTTTAGTTGAATATGTGCATGTAAAAGGTTCTTCGAGAGGCAGTGCACATCGTACAACACTCGTCCACACCCGATGATTCAAGATGTTGCTTCTTTTCACTATCCAAAACAGCATATATTTATTCCAAAACATTGTTTTCAAGATGTAATTATGTTACACTTGAATTCAATGCATAACATTTAAGAACTCATCAATAATGTTATGCAATCTCAGACAGAATTCAAACTTTTTATTCTTTATCCTACCAGAACTGAATAGTAGTATTATGCAAAATAATTAATACTCAAGACCATATTTGTGTATACTGTCTAAAAGTCCCCCTGGCACTCCGTCAGACAAAATATTAAAAACAATAACGTTAATCTGTTGTTATTTTTGCTGAGATGACAAAATTAAAAGTACAGATTATGAGGAGGACAAATTATCACTTGGATTCTAGGCAGGGGACGGTGCCATGTTTTATCATGTTACTGTAGTCACACAGTCCTTGCTTTCAACACTGAGAGCATTCATACACAAGAATATTGTAAGTAACACATAGTGTCAGCATCATCTATACATAACTCAGTGGTGACACACTTCATCATTGTCTCGTCCTGGAATCCCCACAATGGAACAAATGAGGATGCATCTACAGTCTGTACATGGAATTAAATCTGAATACAATTTTCAGCAACAACAAAATCTGTTAAACCAGGTAACCCTTTCAAAACCATACTTCTTTATACAAGGACAGTGCCTTCAGAATCAAAAACTTTGTAGAAAGGGATGAAAAAGACAAATACTTTGCCAGTTTCACAAAGAACACTAACTTGAATTTAGAAGCAACACAAATGAAACTCAAATATAAATTATATTAAAGCAGTTTGGTTCAACAGAATACACTCTCACTTTGGCAGGGATATAAAACAAAGGGAGGTAACCCTCATAAACATCCTGCAGTGGTTAGCCAGAATAAACTGTTCTGAATCTTGTTCAGACAAGGTTGTTCGAAGTGAAACTGAGCATGTTTATGTCTTTTGTCTCCCCCACAAACCATCCCAATATGTACACCCAGAGTCCCCACCCCCAGGCACCAACGCAGACATTGCATAATGACCGGTAGTCAGGCACAAACTAATATACAAACGCCATGGCCAGTAAACACAGACACCATCTGAAACACCATCATGAAATCACAGATTTCTTTTATTTTATTCACTCTCAAAGGTTTTCTTTACAAAATTCATTACTCATTTTAATTTAATATTGTTCAATGAATCTCCAAAATATGTTTATTTCAATTTTGATTTTCATACAATACAGACAAAAGAACTGATAGATGGAAAAGATGAATCTGGTTTTACTGAAGCAAACAAAACTGCTCTAAGCACGCATCCCATTGTAGCTAACCTGTATCACAGATATGTAATTGCACATCAGATATTAAGTCTCTTCATCCTAGCATCTTTACACCACATCATTTTTCCCATATCAAGCATTGTAGCACAGTCTTACTGTATCATTGTATACTGAAGATCAGCAATAAGGGAGAAACAATTTTGTTCAAATTTGTCAATTTTTTACATGGAGTTTTCGAACATAAAATTGAATGTATTTGACAATTAAAAAACAGCTGTTGAACAATAAGAGTTGACATTCACATTATATGAAAGGAAAGCGCAGATAAACTACACATTCACATTCCAACCTGACCAGTCGTAATCTCAACACATACACTCGTAAATTTCCTGATTATTTCGTGATTTGGCCAGAAGCTAAGCAACACATGAAAAGTTGGAATTCCCCCAGTAATTGAGATGAGGGCATTTTCCATCCTCATTTGCTCAACCTCTACGTCCACTGCGATACCACATCTACAACACTGTCCCAGTCATCGTTATCCTTGTCCAATACCTGCAGCTTAATGATGTATATTACACTGATGGAAACCAACCCAACCATCAGATTCAGCTGTTACCTCGTTCCATTTGTGACACAAAACAGGCCCTGTCTGAACTAGCTGCTGAGTTTACAACTCTGGAGTATTATTTACTGGGTCTGTCGATTACAATGCATAATGCTATTTCAGTCCAGTATTGTATCTCGCATCCTTTGTATCGATACAAAACAATGTTTACACAGGAAAGACACTTCCACAGTTCAAAAATAATTGTCAATACACTTACTTAGGCTGTGTCATTGTCAAGAAGATTACAAAATGAACAAATTCAAGTTACATTTCTCTTTTCCTTGTAATTGCCATACAGTTCTACGAGTTATGAGAAAAAGGATTTTTTTTTTTCAGAAACCTTGGTTTGAGGTCCTGTAGAGATAGACAGATTTCAAAAGACTACGGCCGAAACGATTCACCATTGCTCCACAATATTAAACTTGATTCAGTACTCTGTATTCTTCAGTGTTCAATATAAAGTGTGGTCCTGATGTCCTTGAAGTTTGCTCCCATAGAAAATAAATCTAGGGACCCTCATATTCTTAACTTTTAATGACAAGGACCCCTTGCCTTGAACGCTAAATTTCAAATACAGTGTGCCATATCAAGTTCTGACTTCAGTGTATCATTTGAGCCCTGATAATGCTACAGTTCTGACAGTCATCATGCAGTAGATGTATTTAAGTATACAACATAACATTATCTTTCACTGGCATTCATGTTACAGCCTCATATTTTTCTCAGAGAAAAGGGTTGTTTTAGAGGAGTCAGCATTGGTTTGGAAGTAGGGGAAGGATGTGAGATATCATATACAGCGAAGTGTTTATATGGAGGATTGCGAAATACTAACAGCCCTTACTGTCTCTCACATCAGGCTAATATAGTAGGAACGGTACTCCACCATCAGCCAATTGGTAGCTCCACTGAAGAGCAACATCTATTCTTGTTAATGTTTTTGAAAATCTACATTTTCTTTGCTCAGAGAATAAGTGGCTCATACCCTTTCTTTCTAAAAATGTTTCTGACAAACACTAAAAATATTCATGTCATATTTGTTATTTGCAACTTGACAAGTTTCAAAGCTCCCAGAAGAGTTCCCATGTTAGTTCAGTTTGATAAGATTCAACAAAGAGGGTATCTCCTAACAGGACCGAATCCTGATGTCCATAGCCCGCCCTATGTGGATACACGCATCACCACTACTCCGGGGATGTCACTCAGGTACGAGGATGGGAACGCGCTTGTCCTCGGTCAGACAGCTGTGGTGTGTGGTAGCTCCTGCAGAGGCGAGGTTGGCGGCAGCAATGGCAGGCTGCAACATGATGTGGCAGCTGCGACAGACACGCACGGCCTCCTCTAGGTGCTGACGTGGCACGGGGGAGAAGTAATTTGAGCACGTGTTGCAGTAGATGCGACCACAGCTCCTGCAAAAGAATATGAATAATTCGTCAAGAACATGGGTGTGACTTGGACGTAATCATGGTAATGCCACTTTGAACAGTATATTAGTTTTAACGTGATGTCAGCTGAAACATTGGGGAGGTTCTAAAGACATTTATCAGTTTGACACTCTGTGACTACACATAAGAAACTACCATTTTTAGTCCACTGGTCCTTATAATAATAATAACATATAGCAAAACTCTTAAAAATAGCAAATGTCCTTAGGATACCTTATCTACTAGGCAGTTTGGCAAGGCCTATAGGACTAGTGCCAATTTCTAACGGGTCCCCACAAACCTTTGCTAAATGGATCATGTGGGTATCACATCCCAATTGTGTGGATCGATGCTCAATCAATGGTTCACACTCATTCTTTTACAGATCATCATAGCTGGATCATATCGGAGTGCGACGTTAAACAGAGAAACAAACAAAGAAACATTTCCTGTTTAATAAACATAACCTACTATAAGGTGCACTCAACACTTACAAATGTAAGGCTAAAATAGAGCAACACAGAGTGTGTCTAATGCCTTGATTTCCTACCTGCAATGGTGTTTCCTCCTGACGAGACTGAAGGCATAGTCGCAGCCAGCACAGTGAGTCACAGCATGGTCCGGCACCCACAGTGTCATCTTGGACTCGCCGTCATCCACCTGCTCCCAGCTCACGTCTGATGCTGGGTTGCTCACGTTCCCCAGAGAGTGGAAGTCTCCCCCTTCTGTAGACTCGGGCAGAGATGCCTAGGAAAATAGACAAGCTCTCTTAAAGACATTATTTACAATGAGTATGTGATAGTCAAACAGAGGAACAAAACAGCTGTGACACATACACAACGAGAAGGTTCAAAGAAACAAACAAGTAGCAGGCAAACAACATATTACCTCACAATCAGTTCTGCTACCTGGAAACTCTCATCAATGTTTGAAATCAAGATAAAGAGGGTCTTCGCCATAACAATGATGTACAACAACGAGTAGTTGGTCTGTTGATCAAGGTACCATTGTCAAACATCTGCAGGATTGCAGGAACTGTCTTCATTTCTGCATCATCAGGGTGCAATGATACATCCGAGTCAAGGGATATAACTGACTGCAACAGTTGCCATCCTTGCCGAACTAGGCAGGAACTTCTTGGCCCGATTGAAGCGCCATCTGTGGCCAATATGAGTTATGGCCTTGCTATGTACCTATTGATTCCACCTCTCGTATTACTTGCATTTGCTTCATAAAAATGGCGACAACCAGAAAGGCAATCTGATCGATAATCAAAATCTATATTGTGCAAAGTGCATCAAATCAGGTGAGCACCTTGATTAAAAACATGAAAATATTTGGAAAATCCTCTAAAGCTGCATTGGCAGTACACATGCTTTGCAAATCCTGCAATCGTCCGAAATCTGCACAGCAGTTTATGAACTGGATGTTGATTTCGTTATACGATTTTGAATGGACTAAAAGAGTTGTTAGTCAAGGCAATATGTAACTCCACAATTGCACCCTAGTTCGGCAAGGGAGGAAACTGGAACTTTACAGTCAGTTAACATCTCGCGAAGATGACAATGATACAGCCAAGTCGGACATTGTGTCAAACCAATCCTCGTTTTAATCGTTTAGTAAGACAGGTATGTGGTTCTGGAGACCTATTCCGATACAGAGTCCCCAGCTTCCACTTCAGGGCTAGCTTCAGGATATCAATCTCATAGTCTCTTCTAGATGTAAGACCCCTCTTTGCAGTATCGACAGTCATAATCAGGAAAATATGGTATTTCACATGACATCAATGCAGACAAAGAGTTTGGTGTACGACATGTATATTATTCCTTGATGACAGCTTACATTACTCCGGTAGACTTACGATATCATCTCTGTAGTCTGGATATGTCCTGCCATTCCCATTACTGCAGCCATTCTGCTGTAGGATTTTGCGAGCGGCAGCCAACTGTATCTCGAGAATCTGGACCCTGCGCTTGTACTCAGACTCCAACTGGTACATACGCTGTTGGACAGGGTCCACAAAAGTTGTTAGGCCGTCTTTGTCCAAGTGCCGCCCTAAACCATTGTAATGGCGGCTGAGAGGGGACTCGGACATCTACAAAAATAGAAAAACAAGTTGAACATGGTCATTGTGGTGATGTCCAATTGAAATTCAGAATGCAGAAGGATTATATGAAGCCTGCATTACAGGACATAAATCAAATTGTACATGCCATTACTTTTAAATGAGTGAGTGAGTGAGTCGGGTTTAACACCACTTTTAACAGTATACAGTTACAGTTATACAGTTATATCACGGCTTAATGTGGGAGGAAAGTCCGAAGTGATGCAGGTCTCAGACGTTTACCACTTCGGTGAAACCCAAGAGCACGGGTATGGTGCTGACAAACCTAGAAACATAATTGAGGTGAACCTAGATTTGAACCCACAATCATAGGTTTCTGGCGTGCCCAAGGGACGCAACTCTGCACAACGAATCGCGGCGCCTTAAACAACTGGGCCACCCGTGCCCCTCACGTTTAAATGAAACAAGAGTGGTGCACACAGCTTACATCATGGTACATGTTTATACTAAACGTCATATATATGAACAAAACAACATAACACTCTTTGTCCAGTCCACTAGCCCCAACATGCAGTGTGGTATTATTTTAAGTAGATTTGTCTTATGGAATAGAAGAAGCTTATCTTACTGGACCTGATGAATGTCACTAGCCAGGACTTGGTTCTTAGCATAAGTTTTAGTAGATTTTTAGCCTTATAACATGGACTATTCTTTGCTGAACTTACTAGACCGGACAGATTTATACTAGACTCTGGCTTCAGACCAGTCCTCCTAGTCGCTATAACTGACTTACTATCCTACATACAGGTACATGGTACTTGAAACTGGAACAAAACATGAGACAGTAAGAAGAAACAATTTCCATTCTGAACAATAGTAGTGTTTTTGTCTTCATAAATTGATAACAATAACATCTTCAACAGACTTGTGGATCAGTAGGGCAGCCGACTGGTTAATATGCTTGTCACCCTAAAGGCCCAAGTTTGATAACCCAAATTGTCACACCAGTTGAAGCCCATTTCTGGCGTCCTCCGATTGCCTAAATATAGCTAAAAGCTGAGTAAAACCTAAGTCATTCACTCGACAGATTTGTAATGGTAATTCATTATTTCAATCCCTACTGTCTAAACATAAGCCAATAAATATTCAGTAAATACTTTTGCATCATAACTCCTAATCAAACACAGACAACACAAACTGAGTGATCTGTTAAGCAATGTGGTCCATTACTCCATACCTTGCCATCCCCGGTGCCTGGTGTGGGCGGACATGTTGAGTTTGGCGTTCTGGAACTGACAGGTGTGGGGAATGGAGACGTTGAAGGGGATGGACTTGCACTTGTCTTGTCTTGCCGTGAGCACATAACATTATTGCAGTTGAGACGCATTGGGATACAGTGAGACAACTGTCTCAAATCTCGGCTAATCGAGCGCTTTTCTCCGAAAGCGCTATGTACATTAGAGTCACTGATATCTGTTGTACTGGTGCTAATACTTGTGTTCTGATGTTTCAGGTAATCCTTCGATGCAGCCTCCTCTTCATCTGCTACCCCATTCACATCCTCATCGACACCCTCATGGCAATTGTTTGCATAGCCATTCACAGTACCATGACTTTGTTTCCGCTCCCCATTATCACTCAAATCAGTTATCGTATCAGTTGAACTTTCAACCGATCTCAAAGTCCGTTCAGACAATTTTTTACTCATGATATCAATTGTTCCTCTTTGGGTTGGTTGTCTGTCGTTATTGTGACCTTCAGAGTCAACAGGAAGGTCATTGCAGTTCAGAGCGTCCTCACTGACTTCCTCTTCACTGATATGGCCGTTAACAAGACCATTTTGTAATGTACTTTCACTGCTTTCTTCCTCTGTATTATCCTGACTGATTGGAACACCAGTCTCTTCCACGCACCGCTCTATATCAGAATCAGAAGTCTCGCTTTCATTATCACATAACCCATCAGATTCTACTCCATCTGAAAGCCCATTCTCTACAATACCATTCTGGATAAGATCCATTTCATCATGGCCGTTCTCCATCACAGTCTCGTCTTCATCGGATTCATCTTTTTCATTTCCTGTCCCATGACTTGAATCTACTTCTTTTGCAAGAAGCATTGCTGTATCGGGTGATCCATGGATGATGTTCGGATCACTCATCCTGCGCCCGGGAATACTTGGATGCTCCCCTAATTTGTTGAGGCTCTCACAGGATCGTGTTTTCTGAAGTCCTGGGGCTTCCTGGTCTGGTGTGATATCACTGTCGCTTGTCTTCAAACACTCGTCAAGTATGTCAGGACTCGTCTCCAAGGAGTTCTTGGACAGATAGATCGATTTCCACAATTCTAGTTGATGCATTCCATAGTCGGGATACAGAACCTGAAATAAATTATTTGGTATTAATGATTTTTAGGAGCATTCATCCATAATGAACTTTACTTGCATTCTACACTGCGTGTGCCTGTGTGCGTGCATTTTTTTGTACTAGTCCGGGCTAATGTCAAATTTATAGTGCCAGCCGACTGCGATGCCGAGCACCAGACAGGATAACCACAAGTGCCATAAATAAATGTCTTTTGGTATGATGCAGCTGGGTGGTCAAAACCTGGACATTCCACTCTGCAGGCGGATGTTCTACCACTATACCACGGAGGCAGTGTGGACATATTGAAGACCTGGGTGCCGTTGTACAAAGTGATCTTAGCGCTAAGGTGATTGTAACTCCTATACCTTAACATAGACTTACGACAGTCATAGTGCTAAGGTTGTTTTGTACAATGAGACACTGGTGTGATGCTTGGTGTCAGCTGGAATATTGCTGAAAGTTAAGAAAACTCTCAACTCCCTCTGGATCACACATAGTGGCATCAGTGAACATGGTCTTATGGCCAGTCGCCCGGCTGGCTTAAAAAGTATTTGCGACCTGATCAGGGGTGTGCAAAAACTGATGCCCAACTTGCCCAAATCATTTCATGAAATCAGCAGACAAAAAAAGTAATCAGCTTCAGTTTCCCATGGAAAACCTTGCAGTTCAGAAGATGTTTAGTCATCTTTGATAAAATATTTGTAACAAGTTCTAAATGTAGCACTAAAAAGGATAACACATCATAAGAATGACCTTTCCAACTTACAACAGTGTATGTACTTCCTTGTTCTGATTTCGATCATACTTTAGGACAAGCTCTCTGATTGGTTTTCACTCATCTAGACATGGATGAATTCAATATCAAAATGAAACAAGAGTCATCCGAAGATGACATATCCCCCCGACGTGGCATGTCGGTAAACTGTGTGTACCTTCAAATGTATTTAGAATGGCAAGGAAATCTTTTTGCTTGATGCCAAAACCAGAAATATAATGAAGGTTATTAAATATTGGTTCATGTAGCTCACTTTCTGATGATCTCATGAAATTGTAATAACAATAACTTCGCAGATTCGCATATGAATAGCTCTGTAGTAGCCTCATGACACAAAGGCATAAAGAGAATGTACTAGGTTACGTAGCTCACATCATTTATAGTATATGATATTGGTAAACAGTACACCTTAGAATTATATGTCAGGGGCTACAAATTAAAAAGATTGAAATATAACAAACTGCACTACTAGTGAACATGATTGATATGTGCATAAAGTTTGGTGAATCTCTGTCGCAAGGTTTAGAAGATATACTCCAGACGAGGACATTACCCTCGTAATCGTAGGTCCATCAATTTTCAATTTAAATTGAAAAAAGAAAAAAAAAAGAAAAAATCTGTTAATAGCAAAGGCACCACTACATAACCTGCTTGATAGGTGTAAAAACTTTTGAGAAGCTAAGTTGTATGGTTCGGGAGCTAGGGTCCGGACAAGAGCACTACCCTCAAATTTCCTAAGTTCATAATATTTCCATGGAAATGACAAAAATATTAAATTCTAAAAATCTCTAAATAGCAAAAGGCACTTTCCCTGTCATTATGTCGGGGGGATAATAACGCAGGCAGTAAGAGATTGATTTTGGGTCAATTATCTGGAAAAGTAGACTTTTTCTCCAGACAAGTGAATTTTTCATATGCCAAGTTTTACTGAAATATGTTCATTCGCCCAGAAACGAACCCTACGCTTGTCAGAGACTGACATCAAAACATACAAAATAAAATCTGGAAAAATTTCAAAATAGCAAAAGGCACCAGTCAAGCTGATGAGCAATGCATATGCTAAGTTTCATAGAAAACATTGAAAAAGTTACCAAGTTATGGCTCAGAACAGGTTGGGAATGATGGCGCTGACAGAAACCAAGCCAAAAACAATAGACCCTTTGGGGGGAGGGGGTGGGCATGGAGAGACATAATAAAACAGGATAAAAAAGGGAGGGTCAAATATAAACAGTCAACTGAGAATAGATTGTTGAAACTATCACAACTATCACACATGTGACAGTCAAAATACAGGTCTTCATCAATCATCTGACCACATAACCATCAGAAGACACAGAACAGTGCCACTGACTCACATGTGGGTCCGAATTAGGATTGTAGAGCAGATTGACGAACTTGTCGTTGTTGAGTAAGAGTGTCCATACAGACTCTGTTTTCTCCGAGATCTTGTTGACTTGCCGTTCGCGGGCATTGTTGCACAGGAATGTTCCAAATAAGCGGGAATAAGTATGTTGAACCAGCTTTACCTGGAAATGAAAAAATCCACAACTGTAAACCTATAGATCATAACAGAATGCATGTATCTACTGTTTTGAGTAGCTGTATCAATGTAAAAATTGAGGAATATCATCAGACTCTTCTGGCAGGAAGAAAGTTAACATTTTACAGAGAATCCCATTTAAACAGGAGTACAAAATGCCAACTACGAAATCTCATTTTGCTATGATCAATATTCATTCAGTTCACAAAAAAAATCAATGATATACTTTGGTTGAAGGGGAAAATACATAAAGATGTAGCATCAGTCCTGCTGGAACGACTACATCATTTTTCTATCCTGTTTTTGTCCTGTTACACAAACACTGAAATGGACTGGGGACTAGTTTGAATTAACCATGTCTTCTTCTGCATCAAAACCAACTGACTAAAGTACTGCATAAATTCAAATTTGCCTTGTATTATTTCCCCAACCCAGATGTCAAGGAAATATTTAGTGAATAACCTATGAACAAAACATTTACGAACTTCTTCAATCTTGTTACTATGGTGTCATTACAAAATTCATAAAATGTATCAATATATTCAAACTGAATTTCCCTTCAAGGACTGCAAAGGACTGCATGTGTGAGTTTTGAAATGTACAACATTTATGTGTTAGGCATTGGAAGTTGATTGTGAGGATGGGTTAGGAGGGTGGGAGTGTCCAAAGCATATGACTGATGTTACTTTGCATAGACTAAGAATTGTCGGAAACCTTTCTTCAGTTCAGAAACACCTAGGGGACTATTTAATATATTCATGCAGGCTCTCTGTGAACGTATCTAGACACGTCAGAAGATATTTGCATGATTCTTCTTTCCAAATAAGAAAAACCAAACATCATATTTTCACCTAACATCCTTGTATATAGGAACATGTCCCCTGAAACTGCAAACTGGCAGTTTGTTAACTTCCCTATTGCCTACAGCAACTGCACTGATGAAGTAGAAAACATGTACAAATCAAATATTTCCTCCAATTTTAAGACAATGAGGACTGTGCCTAAATTCCATAAATATTCCACATAACTCATCATGACTGAAAGTGTTACTTAATAGCTATGTCCGTGCATAGATTTACGTTTACAAAATGAATACAAAACTAGTGTTGGAAAGAGACTATAGTCTCTTTATAGGAGAGGAAACAGTCTGTGATATAAACAAGCCCTAATTTCAACATACCAGGAAAGCTTCATTGAACTCGAAAGCACATGGAAATTTTCTGTATACTTGAAAGACACAATCAAGCCACTGTAAGAAGATCGGTGATCGTTCATTTGGGTCATCACAGTCAGTGGAATGGCCACAGCGATCGGCAAACTTGTGACCGAAATCCAGCCATTCTCGTTCTATTAAAGCATGGAAGCCCTGGAAAGTGCAAACATGAAAATACATCAATTCTACTTCCGGAATCAACAGAAGCAACTGATTTCTTTGACTTGAACTATGCTATGGTTCATAGATAATTTCTCTATAGATTTTGCATATTGACCAATTGTTGTATGAGGTTTAGTTGTTTAAAGTTGGTTCAGAACATCTTCCCAAGGCAAGTGTGTCCACTAGCCTATGTCAAAGCTACCCTTGCCACATCAAGGCAACTTTTCTTGGCTCTACCCTGGCGCCAACACGTGTAGATCACGAGGTGTTCCCCTTGTAATAAAAACGCGAATGGCAACTATGACAAACTAGTCAGTCAGATAACAAAAACATTCAGACAAGCACAAGTAATCGCTGAGACGAAAAAGACATATTTGTGGCAACAAAGACAGATAGTGGTAAATCACTTTTGTACGAATATGTACCAGTCGTGGATGATCACTTCAAGGACAACATTCTCTCACTGGACTATCCATATGTGCGATAGTCCAATTATATACTCAACAACAAAAGTTCCTGTGACACCAATATTTTAGTGTATTTTTCAATATTGTAGTACATGTATGGAATCATCGTGCTGACAATCAGTCAGAAAAACAACAAAATTATGCAATTATTCAACATTACGAAATGCAACGCCTGTCCGAAAATGAGCATCTGCTTGAAGCAGGATCGAGTCAACGTGATGTTGCAAGACAATTTAACATCCACAGAAACACCATTAGGTGTTTATGGCAACGTTGGCAACAGACGAATGCAGTCAACCTCGGAGTGGCAGGCCACGCATAACCAATAATCGACAAGACAACTGGATTCGAACAACACGCCTACGAAATCGATTCCAGCCAGCAACAGTCACTGCAAGAAGCATACCTGGCCTTCGAGGAATTTCTTCACAAACCGTACGTCGTCGTCCAGATGTGCAGGGATCGTCGCCAGAAGACCCGCCAGATGTCACATTTTGACAGGAAATCAAGCACGTCTACAGTGGTGCAGACAGCGTCTACGCTGGACGGCCATGCAGTAGGGACAAGTTTTATTCGCTGACGAGTCTCGTTTTCACCTCAGCCAAAGCGATGGACGGATTCGAGTGTACTGACGTCGAGGTGAACATTACCTCATTCATTGTGTTATGGAAGATCGGTTCGGGGGCGGCAGCGTTATGGTATGGGGATTACAGGAAGACGGAGGACCCGTTTGATAGTGGTAGAGGGAAATCTCAATGGACAGCGATACCGCGACGAGATCATTGGCCCTGTTGCTCTACCGTTTTTGCGTTGTCATGGCCCCAGCATTACCTTTCCACATGACAACACCCGGCCTCATACTGCTCAACAAAACAACGTGAATGTCATCCCCTGGCCGGCTCGCTCCCCTGATCTCTCACCAATCGAGCACATGTGAGATGAGATCGATCGGCGCCTTCGACGTCAACCACGGGTTCCACAGACACTCCAGGAACTTCGAAACATGCTCCAGCAGATATGGACAGATATCCCACAGGACTTTGTGCGATGCCTGGTCCATTCCATGAGATAAAGATGTGTTGCTTGCATTGCTATTAATTTGTAAATTGACATTTTGGCATGTTCATGTTTTTTTATGAAATCACGCATTTTCTGAAGTCAGTATGGCAAATTAAACCATTTGAACACTTACAGGAGTCTTTTATCTGTTGCAAACCGAAATTGTTTCAGATTTGGTAAATAACATAACTTTGCATTAAATCTTATTCAATGTCACAAGAACTTTTGTTGTTCAGTATATTTATCACAGGAAAGTGGGCTTGATGTGGCAAGCATGGAAACAAGACTTTGATAAAAAGGCTAGTGGGCACTCTTGCCCTGGGAAGATAGGTTCAGAATGGCCATTGAATTCCTGGCTCAGAACCTACTGCAACACAAACCTGATGTCACCATAATGGTTACAAATATGGTAAATTTTGAACAACGACATGAGTGATTTAGGAATTACACCACTGTCAGCAATATTCCAGCTATATCATGGCAGATTCAACCAGAAATGGGTGTGGAATGGAACCCGGGCCTTAAGTGGAGTGAGCAAACACCTTAACCACTTGGCTACCTCAACCACCCAAAATGTTTTCATGGTAGAAACTCTAGTCTTACTATCGATCTACATGGCCAGGAATCCTTGTAAAAGTGTTTCAGAATTCTAACTATTAAAAACTCTAAAGTTTAGCTGATATGACAATATCTGAGGACAAAAATGATCAATTATTCTAGCTGATGTCTAAATGGTTTGACTCCATTTACAGAAGATGGTTTTCATAAGGGGGAGAAAGTAGCTGTACCTTTATTGTCCTGTAGTGAGGGTCAAGGAGAACTTCAGCCAAGGACACAATCTGCGGTGTCCTATCCCAGCCATCTGAGCAGTGGACAAGCACTGGACGAGCCTCCTTGTCAATTGCATTGACCACCAAGGTAGCAGCCCTCAGCAGTGAGGAATTGTACTGCAACCACTTGGTGTGCTCCAGAGATGACAACCAGCTGGAAAACACAGCACACCCCACTATTGACACAGACAGTTCACAGCAACATTGTCACATATAACAACTTGACAGCTTTAGGAATGGTATCTTACTTACGAACAAAGACATGCATGATCTCTGCTTGAAATATTTTTAGCAAGATTACTGAATTCAAGTTATCAACGAGGAAGAAACATTTAACCTTATCTAGAGAAAACATTAGCAAGCAGATTTAGGGATCAACCCCCCTTATTTTTTAATAACATATGGACCAAAATTAAATACTTTTTACACATAAGAATAAAAGGGTCTCATGCAGATCTATATGTGCTCTATATATACAAAAATTCATTTCAAAATTTCTTTTGTTAGCAAAATAAAAAAATGATAACAGTGAAAAAATAAAAAAATAAAAAATATATAACTAAAAGTGTTGATGTGAAATGGGGTTTAACGTCGCGTCCAAGATTATTGCACTTATATAGCGATGTGCATGCACGTGTGTGTGTGTGTGGCTGCTTGTACTAGTCCAGACTGATGTCGATTTATAGTGCTAGCACACTGAGATACCATGCCGCAGTTTAACATGAATATCCCACACAGACACAGTATACTGACTCCGAGCCGACCAGCCCGTGTTTTAGCCCCTTAATGCCGAGAGCCAGACAGGGTAACAACAAGTACCATCTTTTAACGTCTTTTGGTATGACGCGGCCGGGGATTGAACCCCGGACCTTCCTCTCTCCGGACGGACGCTCTACCACTAGACCACGGGGGCGGTCATATAAATAAATAAAGAAAAAATATATAAATAAGTTAAATAAAAAATAACATGAAATAACAGGACAGGAATGAACTTAACTGAACAGAAGTGAACCCTACCTGCTCCAACCATCACACACAAATTCTGTGCTCAGGATAATACTTGCACATTAATCTAACCAGGCGTTCAATGAATCAAACAAGGCTTGACACATATGTACTCGGGTGGACAGACTCACCTAGCTGGATCAGGATGCGTGCTACACAAGGTTCGGAGGGCTATGAAGCTCTTCCTGATGGTGTGGATGTTAGCCAGGTTCATGAACTGAATCTCACAGGTAGGGTAGTAGTCTGAAGATACACAACAAAGAAATAAGCCTTCACACATCACAAGGATTCTAGTTTTATTTATATGAAATACTCCCAAGCTTCAGTCACATGAGTACTTAAAGTAAAATGTGCACCTTGGTCTTTTTTGTCATCCCACCTAAGCAACATTATCAGAGGTTTAAGGTCACCCCACACTGAAGTTCCACTGTGCAGTTTGTTGGCATAATTTTTATTTTGTGTGTGTCAATGTTATTTTCAATAGCAACCAAATTAACAATTCTTTAATATAACTTCAGTTAATGTGTAATGGCATGACAGATTAATTATAGTAATCTGAAACAATTGTGTGTTCTTTAACTCCTTTTGAGTAGTATATGTCCTCAAAAGCATGATTTGTTTAGTAACTATTCATAGGTAATAAGTAAATGGATTGATAACGTCAGAAATCAGTTACTGGAACAACTTAAAAGGTAGAGATTTTCATGTTCTGTGAGGCAGTGACGTCTGGGTATCAGATTTCCCTTAAGCACTGAGCCAAGCAATTCGGGACGAGGCTGGGATTCCCTTCTATAATTAGCAAACAGGCCTCAAAGTGTTACCTGTTGTTACACATTCCATTCTTCTTCAAAGATTTTTCCTGAACTGCGGCTGTGATGCACTGCCTGAATGTGGGTGCTGAGCTTACTCTGGCGCGTTAGTATTGTTAGATCTACTGTGTACACCAATATACCATACCTGCACTCTCACACCCTCCACCCTTGGCTCTGTTGGCAAATGCAGCCCCGTAAGAGCGACAATCAATCAACAACATTTTCTTGGGAGTCACAGCTGTCTGGACTGGAAAAGAACACAATAGTTAGTATGTAATGCACATGGATACAGGAGTGAAGACGTTGGATGTGTCAGTGCTTGGAACATAATTTTTGCTATTTCACGGCATGTCAGCTTCATGTGCAACTCATGGATGTTTACCAGGTTGGTGTGGCCCACAAGCAGGGTGCTGACAACCAAGAATCATAATCTGGGATTCAAACATATGACCATAGGATTCTGGCACACCAAGGGCATGCAACTCTGCATAGCAAACTGGAGCACCTTTCGTGCCTGGGCCACCGATGCTTCTAACAGATATAGGGTAAAACACATTAGCAACTAAATACAGCATTAATAGTTTTACTATTGTTTTTTTATGGGTTTAAAGCCACATCCAGCAATATATTTCAGCTATATGACGTTCGTCTAATCAATCAGGTCAAAAACAGTGATTGATGTAATATGCATCAATCAACTCAATCAGGTTACAACGACACACAATCAGTCACAGTCACAGAGTCTGACCATCCGATCCATGAAGTTGAATCGTACGAGAAATATCATTTCCCAGGGACCAATTCTAACCCGGAATTGTAACATGGAGTTTAACTACACCAATACTCACACTGCTAGTACAATAAAGATAGTATCTTCAAATCAAAACAAAATGCATCTAGGTATGATGTAGACGTGAAAGTGGAACTTTTTAGTCTGTGTAGAACTGAAACATGGAGCTTCGATTTCATCTATATCCATGACAAAGTATTCAATCAAAACTATATGGCACTTTTATATCACTTTCACATTATGTACAAGAGTGTTTCGTAGACAGTGGTTAGTGGGCACAGGTTATGGCACCATGAGCCAAATCAAACTAGTCCCTAATTCCTATTTCCTACCTTCTGCATCTGTTCCCCCATCGCTGGTTGTTTTCTTCACATCTGTCCCTGGATTCAGAGCACAGGCTTTGGGTATGGCCCCCAGCAGGACCTCGTCCTCTGTGTTCCGCCACCCCAGCCAGCCCAGCTCTGGCTGGCTACAACGTACCAACACTGCACCATTCCTCTGGTCCCTGTCGAATAACAAACCAATCTTATAAAAATCAGATCTTAGTTATCGCTATGACTGAACAAAGATCTGAGGACATCCTATTAAAGGTCACGTCATTTTGACCTTAAGCGAACTTTGACCGACCAATGAAATGACAATCTTCCCGAGGCAAGGGAGTTAAGTGACTATAAAAGTTCAGTTTCCACCCTTGACGAACTAGGCTGGAATTTCCATGCTCAAATGTAGCGCTACCAGTGGCTATTACGAGTTATGTCCTTTCTACGTAACTCCTATTGACAAATCAGATTCCACCTTTCATAGCACTTGCATGTGCTTCAAACAAAATGGCGGTGCTCAGTCAAGACGATCTGATTGATAATCAAGACTAAAATTGAAATAAAACAGGTCTTACCTCACGAAGTGCATCAAATCACTTGAGCACCTTGATAAAAAACATGAAAAGATTTGCAAAATATCACATGCTTTGCAAATCCTGCTGTCGACCGAAATCTGCATGATGGAAATCCATGTTGCCTACGAACCGGATGTCTAGTTTCTTACAGGATTTTGATTGGACTATGCATAGACTCGTTAGTCCAGTCAAAATGTAACTCCATAATTCCAGCCTAGTTCGGCAAGGGTGAAAACTGGACTTTTATAGTCAGATAATGCCCTTGCCTCGGGAAGATGTGAAATGACTGACAAGAAATCTCTAAAGCTTTACAGCACTACTTTCAAGCTGGTTACTTCCATTCAAGACTACACTTTAAAAAATTCTTTGACAGTTCTTCGAAAACTGAACAAAAGAAAATTTTGGAACGCCCAATAAATGGCCAAGATTGTATGGCAATACTTCCCACTGGCTTTGGAAAGCCTTCTGTTACAAATGTTTATCCCATTGAAGCAAGAGATAGACAATAAGTTCACAGAATCAGTTGTACAGTAAGTTACTGTTGTTCGGAATACCAACAGTTAACCTTTTCCAGGCTGATTGATTAGAAAACACATTCCGACTGTCATTTTCCTCATCTGGTACATGATGCTCAGATCAGAAGGATGAAAGGTCATTCTGATATGACCCTTATTGAGATGTCCTCAGATTTTTGTTTCACAGAAACAATTTTTAATGAGATCAAAAACAAACTGCCTACAGACACATGGAATATGTTAGTACAAACTAGCAGAATATCCACTTACCCGTGCAGCACATCAATACACTATTGAAACAAAAAAATACACCCTTGCAGTGTATCGATCTAACCACCCTTGCAACCTATATGTTCACAATTGTAACAGTGAGTGAGTGAGTATGGTTTTATGCCGCTTTTAGCAATATTCCAGCTATATCACGGCAGGGACACCAGAAATGGGATTCACACATTGCACCTATGTTGGGAATCGAATCCGGGTCTTCGGCGTGACGAGTGATTGCCTTAACCACTAGGCTACCCGACCGCCCCACAATTGTAACAAATCTGCACAACCTTGGAACATATCTGTACACACATTCAAAATATCCAATCTGGGACCAGAACTTTTAAGCCTACTTGTCTGAACTTGGCTCTTAGCATAATTTTCTGTAGATTTTAGTGTTAAGATATGGACTAACATTTCTGAACTTTCAAGACCGAACAGAAGTTCACTGGACTCTGTCTTACAACTTGTGACTAAAGTCAAGGACTGTATTTCTGATCAACCTTGCAATACTGTTCATCTTTGCAACCTATCTCTTCATCCTTAAAACCTGTACATCTGTACTCAAAATGCTATCCCACAAGTCACCAAAGTTTCCAGGTCGAAGTATTTATACACCTTTCACTTTTTTTCAGAGATATTCTAAAACTTAAAATAATATTCCTAGTATTTACTGTTTTGCGGTATTTCATCTCGTACCTCCAAACAACTGATGGAAACCTCTTGAGAGCCCTGAAGCTGGCCACACTTTTCAATTCTTCATCTCCGATCGCTGCTGGTACAATGTGATACTTGGAGTAGGAGGAAGTTAGGCTGGAAATAGAAACATCATGTTACCATGGATACATTAACATGATCAAAGTTTACACCTAATCACCACATGGCCTTTCATCACAGCAACAAAGAGATAGGAGGAGCATGTGACACCAATTTTGCAGAAGTTTCACTAGCTTCCTGCAAAACAAGGCATCAAGTGAAAAACTGCCAGCAGCACACTGTGCCATTGCTTGGTGACAAGAGCTTTCTCTGTTGTTGCCGTTAATCTCTGGGGCTCAGGTCCAGATAACGTAAAAGCCATGACAAGTACTGAAAACTTCCGAAAACAGCAGTAAACTTCAAGTTTTTAGAAGCCTATTTATCGTAGAGAATCGGATACACCCAGAATCACCAGGACTGTCTGACACCCACAGTTGTCTGGCTCTTTATTTCATGATCAAAGTTGGAAGTCAGGCGCTTCATAAATGCATTATTATTATTATTAATATTATTTCTGTTGTAAGGTTATCAACATATGTAACTGTGGATTCAGTTAAGCACTGATTTCTTGAGTATGTTAATGTTGTGTTGTATTATGCCACAGTTTGCAATATCATAGGTGGATCACAAAATAACTGCGTCTAGAGGATGGGTGTTTCTGAGTACTGTCAATAAAAGTAGCCCTAAAAATAACTTGAGCTACACTTACATTGAAGAACACTACATTCTGTCTCACAGTCTAGTCAAGGTTTAGATTAGAATGTCAAAGGGTGCTTTTGATAATTAATTTACAAACTATCATACGACTGATTTCCCCATTTTATTTACAGATAAACTCCATCTCATATATTCACTTACAAGAAAGCGTTAAAGATTACAGGGTGTATGATGCCATGGGGCTCACAGCCACTGTGTCAACAAGCAATCTCAGACAGGAATCATTGACCCTCTTCATAAAAACTGATAATTTCTGTAGTCTGCAGTTGGGTCCCTCTCAGTAATAATTGCCAGCTTGTGAATGTGTCAAGTCAAGACTAGTCTTCCAGGAATCATTATATCTTCCCTCTTTGAAGGAGGTTCAGTAAAATTGATTTTTCAGACATGGAATGGCTAAATTAATCTGAAGTTTAGGGATTTATGAGAGAAAGTTTGACTTTTACCAAAAGTTTTCATTAATCAGCGATATCCTCCACGCTTTCTTCTGGTTGGTGTCAAACTGCATTCTATCAACATCCTTCCCAAATGTGTAATGGTCCATTGTGTTGTCTGAAACAGAAAAAAGCATGACTGTCACTTCCTAAACACAACATGCAGGGGTTAAATCATGTAGGTCTGAAGCCACTCACTCAGGAACAGCTCTGGTTTGGGAACAGGTTTCATAATACTTATGTTAAATGACTTGTCAGTTTTGACACTAATCATATCAGGTACTGTGAGTTGAGATGATTTTATTAACACACACTCACACCCTGCACCCCCTGCCCAGGAACAGAACGGAACAGGACACCAGCACTCTATTGCTTGTCATATTAGGTGATGAAATAGGATCAGTGCAGAGACTTTGCCAGAGACAAATGGGAATAGGACATTTTCATGATTTTACACACATTCAGTAGAACATTCCTCTAAATCATTACCAAATTTGACAAAATACCTACAGTACATTTTGATGACACTCAATGTCCTACAAAATCTGATGTGAAACCCTGAAGTGACTTGGTTGATCACGTGTCATTCTACCCAAACAGGTCGATTATTTACAGACTGTTGGAATATTGCTGACTAATCTCATTAAAATCAGATCTTAGTTCTCGCTACAACTAAACAAAGATCTGAGGACATCCCATTACGGGTCACGTCAGACCGACCTTGCGAGAACTTTGACCGACCAATGGAATGACCAATCAGAAGGCAGCTTTCTTGTGCTTTACGGCACTAATTTCAAATTGGCGACCACGCTTCGAAACATATTTGGGCAAATTCTCGATTACAAATTTGAAACCTGGACAAAAGAACATTCTGGAATGGCTAATAGATAGTCTAGATTGTATGGATTCAGTCGTTAAACCCGTAACTATCGTTCGGAGTTAAAGTTTTCGAGGTTGCATGATAAGAAATCACATTCCGACTGTCACTTTCATAATAAACAATAGTCCAGCCAAAATGTAAAGATGCTCTGATGGGTCAGATGAAATGTCGTTCTGACGTGACCCCTAATGGAATGTCCTCATATCTTTGTTTAGCGGTAGCGAGAACTGAGGTCTGATTCTAATGAGATTGATTGCTGACTGCATCGTAAAACAAGAGACAAAAAAATTCATAAACATACACAAAATACAACTTTTTTTGTAAAATATCGTCAGTATTCAAGCTGGCTTTTGAAACTACCAGTCCTGGTGGAATGGCAACTCTAAAAATTACCAGTCCTCATTAATTTTTGTCAGTCCCAACTTCAACAAATAAAAAACATATGAAAATTACCTGGTTATAATTCTTTCAACATCTTGTTCAATGCAATGACATCATCTCTGATGTAACTTAGTTAGATCTACTCGTCATTCAAACAAAGTTCAGTCACAATTTTCATTTTTTTCCAAAGATATTTCAAGGTGAAGTCGCCACAAATATATTTTTAACCTTGAAGCAAGGCAAAATGTTATTTCCTTGCATAAAAAATCATCAAGGGGCACCCCTGATGGTAACATACAAGCTGACTTTGTTAAAAAATAAAGAAAAAGGTACTTTTATTTGCTGGTCCACAGGGACTGTCAGTGTCATGAATTACTGGTCCAAGCCTAATTTTACCGGTAAAAAACTAGAAATTACTGGTAAACGGGAATACCGATCTTATGTCATTCATTAACATGACATAAGAGATAAAATATGCTGAATTTTTATAGTTCACAAAATAATTTAGCAATGTTTGTCTGCCATGGTTACCATAGTTACTTACCCTCCAACTCTGTCCGTGACGGTGCAGTGTCACTGGTAGGTGTGTCATTCTCCCTCCATGCATGGTATGCGAGGGCAAATAGGTCATTGACCTCCTTGGGCGCTGCAATGGCATCTAACAACCTCTTGTACCACTGCTGGCACTGTTCGTTGGTGGAGAATGCACACCTGTCATGTAGAGAACATGCATACTAAGAAACAGACGCATACTTAAAAAACATTTGATGCAAAGTGCTTTACTTAAGGATTGAAGTTGTACTTGTTGACGTTCATCAGCTGATGAAGACAGTGCCTCACCTCAGCAAATTCCATGATGTGCAAAGCACTTCATGGTAAATTTGGTCACGTGCGGCACTGTGAGGCTTTAAATCCCGCCTCATTCATAGCCTGAAACACATGATGATACTGTCCCTACTTGATGTTACTTATAGAGATTGAGGAATTCCCATAAAGTAGTTCTGTATGTCTCCGCTTGATTGACAACGTAATCAAATGACATATTCACGTTCATCGGGAAAGGAACAACAGTTAGCTTGGCAGTGTTCACCTACAACTGTCAATATTGATAATTGAAACAATAAACATGACAAACAGTTTGTCAGAGCGAAAACCAAACTTTTAACCTGGTATAACATAAGTCTCATTCAGTACGAACCTATTTCTTACTTATTCTTATTATTAAAACACCAAACATCAAGTTGTGTTTCCAGTTACAAAACTGACCATAATGTGCCGTACGTTTATGCCACAGCTTTTTTGCTACATTATTATCAGGGTTACAACTAAACAGAAAAGTTTTACTAGCCCAGGTAAAGATAAAATGCCCTGGTAATGTTAAAACAATGGGGAAATTTGTAAACATGTCCTAGCCCCGGACTAGTGGGCTTGTTAATTTCATACCCTGATTACAAAACAAACGTTGAAACTTATTTATTGACATTGTTTATTTCCCTTCGATTGCTATATATGTCATCTTTAAAAGCACTTTAACTGAAACGCAAGCTCTATTACGGAGGGGGGCTAACTCTGATCAGGTGACCCTTCCCATATACGTACCTGACTGTAGTAGCATCTTTACAGTAGACAGTAAGGTAGAAGATCTCTCTTGTGTCCACAGTGTCAATTAATCCAAGCGGCACATTCACAAATACGTTCTTCTGCCGCACAAACAGCCGGAAATTAGATAATGCTATGACACCGTCTGAAGTCCTGCCCAAATATGTCACATACTCTCCATTCATGGTAGGAAAGGGCACCTGCAGCGTGTCATCTTCCAACACGATGGATTTCTTGGGAAACAGCTCCGACTTGTGGATGCACTCCAGGCTGTGAGGCTCCTCGGTGCCCTGTCAAAGCAACAAGGTCATCGGTAAAGTATTGTACTCAACCAATTCAGGCAACCATGTTACATCACATGTTCATATTAATATGATTAGAAGTGCCATGATACGCTTACCTAATCATCAATACATACTGCGATACTTGAGTAACAATAAAATACATATTACATTACTTCATTTGATTCTTTTCTGAATGAAATTCTAAATGTTCAATTTGGACAGCTAACTGTGCTGACAAGTTTAAAATAAAAATCAATACAAAACTAAAACATGAATCAATACATGGATAGCGTATCATATATCGTGTAGTCACAAATAAAACCCAGATACATAGGTAAATTGTGACAACCATATGTGGTGTAAGTGGTGTGGTGTGGTGTGGTGTGGTGTGGTGTGGTGTGGTGTGGTGTGGTGAGTGGGTTTCTTGGGGTGGCCACCACCCTTTTTTAACATCTGATGACATTTTGTATGCACATTGCCAACCATGATAACATGCTGATCTTGTTCAAGTAAAAATGATAATGGTTCACATATGGTGTTTGTGATTTTTTGGGTATGCACATGTGGACTCCCCTCCCCCCTGAAGTTTCAAATGGCCCACCCTACCCCACCATCATCTTTTACAATCCTGGATCCGTCCCTGATAAAAAACAAAACATGATTAAGTATCAACCATTAAACACTATACCAGGAAAATGTATAACTTACAACACTGTACATTATGGTAATGGCTGATAAAGAAAGGAGCTAAACAAAATATTTATCACGACACATTTCCTAAATCATGTACATATTTTTACATCATTTCCTTACATACCAGTGATCAGTATCATGTACAGTACACCTAATGCTTGCTAACATCCTCATGATCCGGTCTCACACCATGTACAATACACGGAAGTGCATCAGGAATTCTCCCACAGCAAATTTTCTGATGATGGTGCAGATAATTCAAAGGTGTTGATCTGCTTACTTACATCATATATTATTATTATTTGAGATAACGAGGTTCGACTTTATGTCACTTATATGTATTTGTTTCAAGCTATGAGTTTTCATCACCTCTCATTAATGTTCATAAATGGCTACCATAATGGTAGTGGACTCGCACTAAAGCTAAACTAGAAAATGTTTGATTGTGCATTGTATATGAGATAGCTACTTTCCCTCCCCAAAAAGCATAGTTATAAAACAGAAGTTATTCGGACTATAAAACCTACTAGGGAGGGCCTAAGAATATGCGATGAATATGCATGAGCATGGCCCAAAGCTATGTTTGGACATGTGACCTATACTGAATATCTGATACTAACAAACCTTGAATTACCGAAACAGTATTCCCATTCATGTAGTGTAGTACATGAGTTCATCCCAATCTTGATAATTCACTTACATATCAAAACAGTTTGCTTCAATCAGCAATTTGCTAGATTGCAAATGGTTGAAATATATCACCAGTCATGAATAAATCTGCCATCTGGATTATATATGTTATGTTTTGCATAACATTGTTAACGCCACATTCAGGATTAATCCAGTCTTATGACGATGACCTGTAAATAATAGTGTTTGGAAAAGGTGCGGTGGGGCGAGGTAAAATGGGTTTTAACGTTATGCTCAAGATTATTGCACCTATATAGCGATGCGCAACCATGTGTGTGTGCTTGTTTGTTGCATGTACAAGTCCGGACCAATTTTGGCTAGCCCACTGTGATGCCAAGCTGCAGTTTAACATGAATACCCCACACAGATACAGTGTACTGACTCTGAGCCAACCAGTCCGTTAATTTAGGCCCATAAATGCCGAGTGCCAGGCCTTTTTTTAACGACGCTAGACCATTGAGGCGTTAAGCTTGGAACAGACAAACCAGTGAAAGATAATATCATGTGCAACCTCCCATGCTATAACAAATAAGAACATGGCTAACGAGTAAGTGAATGTTGTTTTACGCTAATAGTATAGTGCTAGCCCACTCATGAACATATACCTAGCCAACCAGTCCTTGTTTTAGCCTCTTAAGGCGCAAGTACCATATCATAAAATCTTGGTATGACATGCCGGAGATTGGTCCACCAACCTTCCGTCCTCCGGGAAGCCACTCTATCCACTACACCATGGACACAGTTCAAAAGCACAAGAAGTGTGTGGTCAACATTGGACAAATATAATATATAATAAAACTTGATAGCTCCCTTATCAAGATTTGTTGTCTGCTAAATGTATTACTACGTTGGCTTAGAATCAAAACATGTCCAGTTTCAAATCACAGTTTTTCCTTCAAAGTTTTCTAAGACATATTTCTAGGAAGAGAAACAATAGAATTCTTGGTGATTCAGAAATCAATGGTAAACGATCTTCACTCACGACTGACCACTGAGCATGGAATATTCTGGAACCACATGGAAGCAGTCTAGTCGAGGGACAGGAAAAATCAATAAATGCTCCCAACATTGACAATATGACAGGTCATAATGAGGACCTCGTCCTTACAGTTTGTTCACACAGCATTCTTTCACTCACCAATTTCAGTGCCATATGTTTACTTGAGCTTTTCCAAACCTAGAATTGACTCCGTTATGCCTCAGTATTCGAAACTAAGAATGAAAGCCAAGGGGACCTTGTTCTGTCCTATATCCTAATGTTAAACATGTTAAAAGCTAAAGATTTATTGGGCGCATCAGTAAAATTCAAAAGAAGACATGATGGACCCCTGGGCCAGATTTCATTTTGAACCCTGCTTTAAGATTTCAAACTTCCAAAAAATTTCAACAAAAGTAAACTGTATCTTTCTTACACAAAGAGAATATCTTTCTTAAAATAATAATTGAATTTGTCTTGGCTACATTATAAAATGTGTACTTTTAACATGACTAATAATTTACAAATAACAAATACTACCTATTCAAAAGGTTTAAATATTAATGAAACATATTGACCTGGAACAAATGACCAGCACTACAGCTGTAGGTTGCTGATACAGTGTTATACGATAGGCACATGCACTCACTGATCAGCTGGCCCAACACACGTTTCCCAAGTACCTAGATCAAGTTACTCATAATACCTCTCCAAACATACATGATATACTAATAGAGAAGAGCACGTTTGGCTACGAAGAAAAACCAAACCATAGAACTAACAAATACACATACTGGTAGTACTGGGAGGTGACAGCTTTCAACATGTCATAGCAGTTTTACAGATCAAATTCACTTGAAATTCACAGAAAAGGCCATTTATTGAGGCTTCCTTTGACGTGTTACTATGCTTATAATGGTTACTGGGGGTGAATAAAACCATGATAATTGTTATGACCAGTTAGACAACAAGAAACAAGATAGTGTCAGTTGCAACTTGTCCTAACTGGAAATATGGATACAAGGATTGTGCCCCTAATAGATAATATCCTGATAAGAGTGAACTTGGTGTAAACAGTCTTGATCATGTTGATAGCATCTACATATGTCTAGAAATTGGAACAAAATTGGCTGAGTAATAACCATAAATAGATTTTTCAAAATGGCCCTTGTGGCAGCCATATTGAAAATCAGATTTGAACCTCTTCAACAAATTCAGGTGTCATCACTGGAAGGAACATGCCTGTGTAGTTTCAGCTTCACTGGTCCAGATAATTTGTTGATTATAATGCAGACATGGCAAAACAGTCTTGATAGCAATTACATATGGATTGAATAAATGGATATTTTAAGTCATACTATGAACACCAAGCTCTATTTTGGCACTGCCGACTTATCATATTTGGCACTTTCCTTCAATGCTGTGTTGCGAAGTGGGACTGTAAAAAGTAGGCACTTGTAATCAGCAAATACTTTTCATGCTGATTGTTTTTTTTAATGAATTCATATGCTGCCAGAAGAACTGTAAAAGTTAACTCAATAATGACTCCAGGTGGTGAAAGTGAGCAGGACAACTTACCATGGTGCTGGAGAAGCTCTCCGACAGGCCCCCACTTAGTCTCTCTGTGAATGTCCTGGAAACAGAACACACATTGTAAACATCATACAATGAGTACATGGGGCAAGGGAGGAGTGCATTTGGTTTCACACCGCTTTGAACAATATTCCAGTTATATCACGATGGGTCAGCTTAAAGCGTGAAGAAAGCCTGAAGTGATGCAGGTTTCAGATGTTTGTTTACCACTTTGGGTAAACCCACGAACATGGGTATGGTGCTGACAAACCTGGAAACATGATCAGGTCAAACCAGGATTTGAACCCATGATCATGATCTGGTGTGCCCAAGGGACACAACTCAGCACATCAAATTGTGGCACCTTAGACGAATGGGCCACCCATGCCCTGGAGGAAGCCATGAGAGTTTTCTGAAAAATAGCTAACATGGCAAACTAACCACTGAAGCGGTCTGATCATTGACATTGACCCCAGAAAAAAGGCCCTCCATTTGAAGGCTCAAGCAATCACAAACTATTGTTTCTTTGTTTTACATTGCAGCCTGCAATACTCTACTTAAGTCACTGGAACCTGTAAATGCTCGATTCTGGCCAGACAAACTGTAGAGGATATTATGAGTAACACATCATGTCATTAAGGTTCAATGACACTCAATCAACTAAGAATTCAAGCCTGGTCATCTAATAATGTTGACAGTTGTTTTTTAAGATCATGACATATGTCACTGATTGATAATAATTTCAAACATTTATTTTGACTAACCCATAAACCATTTCACCATTGCCCATGGCCAGTAATGTTTTCAAAGGGACAGCATGGTTAGCGGAACATAACATTTTCTAGTCCTGTTAGCTTATTGAATCTGATTGAAAACTGTATGCTACTATATTTACCGTAAGATTTTCTGGGTTGATTTTCTTCAGTTATCAAAATTAAGTGGGATTCACCATTTTGATAATGGCTAAGAAACAGTTGAGAGTAATACTTAACCCATTACTTTCATCAGATTTTACCACTGAACAGAACCTTGACTTTCATGTCTATTGTTGGGAATGTTACAATCATGATCATATAATTTCTACATTTATAACATCACTATTCTAATGCTCTAGGTGTAAATGTCATTTCAAATTGCAACTGATAAACTTTATACGGATGCAGCTAAATACTGGGTAGATGACCATGGAACAGCAACCAACCTAAATTACAAACCATGTTGGCTCTAAAGTTAATAACCAATACATTTAATGTTCATGACAAAATCTGAGGTTGATTTCACATGGTGAACAATAATTAGTTTTGTTTCTCAAAATGTCGATGCTATTTTTTTCCTTTTCACTTCAGTATTAAACATGTTAAAGAAGCAGTTGTCAAAATAAGGTAAAGTAGAATCATATATATCATTATCATGTATATCAATGGTATATATGTCATTACCCTTGACATGCCTTGTTCAAAGTTAATACTTTAGGGGGTCCCTGGTTCAAATAACATGGGAGCAACCTGCATAGACCACACAGCCCGTTTAAACACAATAACAGTGTTAAAAATAATAGCAGTAGTAGTAACATTAGTAACAGTAATAACAGTAACAATCATAATAATTTAATATTAGCAGTAATAATAAAAATAAAAACATAAAGCTATCACCTCAGCAATGCTGACATCATGATGAATGATACTATTAGTGAGGTAATGGATTACAATATATCAACTTTATCACCTGGGCGAACTTGATAATGCATGACTCACTGGCTCGTGGTCTGACAATACATCACACTGCACCTGATAATATCATATTAGACACACTTCTCTCCTGATACGGCCCTGAACTACATGTTACTACCTACATCAGTAAGCAGGATGTTGCTTATCTGCCAGCCCACACAACATGCATCAAATGACTATCACCAAATTAATAGAACCAGGACAACAAAGCAGGCACTTCTTTACAAGGATCGTTGCCTCAGGACCAGTGTGTGAAATATTTTTTTAACCCAACAAGACTGTTGGACAGGTGACCTATAAATGTTGCCTGCCCATCAAGTCCTACATTCAGGTATTATATACATGTATATTGAAAAACACAAAATTGAAGAGACAAATCATATCTAGATTCAGTTGAAATAATGCAAACAATTACCGGGTGCTTGCGAATGTAGGAGTTATTATAAAACTGAAGATGAATAAGTAGTCTTTAATTATCTGCCAGACAGTCGGGCAGGTGGAGTAAAATTTCATGCAGCCCGACAGAATAGTAACCTGCCACGAGGAGGCAGGCAGTTATTTTGGACACTGCTGGGGACAAATAAATAATCTTATCAATTCCTAACCATGTATACCATGTTTACAGGAGTCATCCTTGACATGTTTCATACCACCCAAACATGCCAAAATAGTCAACGTCAGATTGATAAATGTTTCTTCTTGTATGAACTGATTATTTAGACCAACATACCAAATGCAGAAAGGGTGAGGTGAGGTGAGGTGAGGTGAGGTGAGGTGAGGTGAGGGTTTAACGTCGCATCCGAGATCATTCGACTTATATAGCAAGGTGCATGCATGGTTGTGTGTGTGTGTGGCTGCTTGTACTAGTCCAGACTGATGTCGGTTTAGAGTGCTAGCACACTGAGATACCATGCCGCAGTTTAACATGAATACCCCACTCAGACACAGTATATTGACTCTGAGCTGACCAGACCTTGCTTTAGCCCCTTAATGCCAAGCGCTAGACAGGATAACAACAAGTACAATCTTTTAACGTCTTTTGGTATGACGCGGCCGGGGATTGAACCCCGGACCTTCCACTCTCTAGGCGGATGCTCTACTACTAGACCACAGAGGCAGTGTGGTGTAGGGTGGTGGTGTGGGATGAGGTGAGGGTGTGGGGTTTGGGTTTGGGTTTGGGTGTGGGGTTTGGGGTTTGGGGTTTGGGTGTGGGTGTGGGTGTGGGTGTGGGTGTGGGTGTGGGTGTGGTTTGGTGTGATTGTGGTGGTAAAGCAAATTCTACTTGACTATGTGGACTGAAAATAAATATAGATAAGCATATAGAAAAACTTGTCATTTAACATGTCACATTGTCAGCTACACACACAATTCATACAGAGTTTACTGATTATTCTTCCTGATGAAGGGGTTTATCTACACCTGCTCAGAGGCTAATATTCAGCCCAAAGTCTACAGCAAATGTCAATGAAAATTCCCAATTCATTTTAGAATGTACTAATATATATAACTAATAACTAATTTTATGGCTTTGTAGAAGTAACCTGATATTCACTTCCAAAAAGACCAATACATAAGAACAGGTTTTAATGCTTCGTTTTATATTATTGCATTAAATGCAATCTCAAAATACCTTTGACTTTAAGCAAATATGAAACAATACTTTTTTTCCCCCCAAACTGCCTGCCATGGGCACTTAGTTAAGAATCCTAAATCAATCCTTGTGATGAATATATATGCTTATTGATTTGTGAGAGATGAATGTGTTGTAACTTATTGAAATTTAACAGCACCAGCTCAAACAATTGTCCTATGCTACAGATTGCCTCAGGTGAGCAGCAAGTAGAAATTTTACAATGTCTTGCGATGTTTTCTACTATGTTTTAACTAGTTGGACTGGTAAGCAGTTTTGCCTCATGCACTCAGTGCTTCTGATGGCCACCATTCCAACCATGACCTTCCATTCTGATTGACACTGATGTGGGGCCACCGGCCCCCTATTTCCTATACACCTGTCCATCATTTTCCAATGTAATGGGTTATTTGACCTATATGCAAATGAAAAGCAAAAGTAGTATTCCCAAAAACCTGACCAAGCAGAAGCTGGCTGCTTGTACATGTACTAGTGCGGACTTGTCTGTTTTATAGTGCTAGTTCACTGAGATACCATGCCACAGTTGAACATGTATACCCTACTACGTCACAGTATACTGACTCTGAGCCAACCAGCTTTATCATGTTATTGCCGACATGGCAGGGTAACAACAAGTACCATCTATTCATGTCTTTTGGTATATAAACAAATCAAACATAAACAAAACATCACTCTCAGGTATTATTTTTGTAGCTAGTGACTGACTTTTCCAGCTACATCCCCAAGACCTGTGTCTTAATGAATCTCAGCCCGGCAAACAGGTTGTTATCCATGATTCACCAAGGAGGGGTACAATGAGACACTATCATCCAGGTCATACATTGTAACCACTCCACATGCTCCATCAACTTACTCACCCCAAAAGTATGCAAGTGCATGTACTACCAATTTCACCATGACATCTCCACACAAACATTTCCAAAACTGCATAAAAATACACTAAATGAAATATACTGAGCTACCTGAAGTTCAGCCTATACTTATGCACTTGCATGTGACACATTCAAATGACACCCTATGTGCAAAAATTCTATATGATAAATGAAACAAAAAAAAACATACCGATACATCTGCAAAATTAAGTTCAAGGTGACTCACCTAATCTAGATGATATACATGCTGTTGTTATCTCCACAGCCACTTAGGGATGTCAACCATGGCCCAGATGGCATTTAAGTAGTGTGACTCAACTAACCATTCAGACATGATATTGACTACAATACAGAATTCAACACACAAGACGTAACACCACCACAATGTCAGCAATGGAGACGGTATAAAACCCCACTGCAACACATTCAATGCATCATGGCGACTTATTGATATACTACAAGAACGAAAGTAGCCTATATTTAGAGCCAACTTTAAAGCATGTGACAAAGACATCACACAGTCCCTTAACCATGTTAACACTGCCTTTCCAAAGCACAATAAGGTAGCTGCTGCTGTACTGTGTTATTGAATAACATGAGATTGCAATACTGAAGGTTCCAGTATTTACTTTGAAGCTTTTAACATTGTTTAAGCATTTTCAGCATATTTCTAATGTCCTAACACTATCAGCGATTTCAACCATGTCGCCGATTACTGATTTAATGGAGCTTACAGACTACACTTGTGCATTACACCCAAGGTACATGTTACAAAACCCAAAATCATATCCAGAATCCTACACCACTA